CTTGACTGTTGTAATTTTCTGTGCACTCCAAGTCAGATACTGTGGCTGACCGAACTTGAGATAAAAATCAATAAGTTCACGATCAACTTGAGGATGAGGTGAGGAAACTTGAACTGTTGAATCAAAACAGTGAAAAGTAAATGCCTTTCGTGTTATAGTCATATCAAACTGTGAGTACCTCGTATTCTCACAATCAAACGAAGCTACAAGTTCCAGCCATTACGTGCTTGGAAACTCTATCGCTTCTTTGATCAGCGTTTCCTTAGTCCAAGGAGGAAACAAAGCCTTTTTTTGCAAATTAGAGCATCATGCTCTTCCTTCTTCTTTCGCTCCCTCTCTTCTTCTTCTTTTGCAACCCGAAGGTTTTCATCTAACTCCTGATCCCTTTTCTTCCGTTTCAGGGCATCAGCAATAGTTTCTTGATCTTCATCACTATCTTCAGCAAGACCTTTCTTCTTTTCTTGATTACCAGAACCCGAAGCTACATTACCCTTCGGTTCTGTTTTGACAGTGACTTTCGGTTTAATAGGATTAGTTTTCTGAGCACCTTCTCCCCCTTGTTGCGAAGTAACCAATCGCTCCGAAACACCCTTCATTTCATGTAGAAGTTCAATTGTAGGAAGAAGCTTGGAGTTCAGGTGATTCCAGATTGTCAGTGTAAGAATTGGATCATGAGCATGAAGAACATTGTGCAACATATTAAGAACGTCACCAGCACAACTTCGAAAGACAACACGCTCAGTTTTCAACAAAGAAATTTCCCGATCGGCTTGAGCCAGTTGGACCTTCTGGACTTCAACGTTAGTGGTTTGACGAGCAATATCATCCATCAATTTGTTCTCCTTTGCTAAATCAGCATGGAGCTTTTCAAGACGAGAATAAGAAGAGAAGTGTTCTCAGCTTGAATCTCAGAACGAACAGTCTCGAATATGGGTTGCTCCCCTTGAAGTGATTTTGAGAGAGAGTCAACCGATGCATTCACCTTAGCTGCATTCGCATCAGCATGACCCTTAAAGGATTCAAGAAAGATCTGGGATTTGTGAATGAGTTCCGCAACATCGGTGGTAGCCTTCTGGCAAGAAGATGTGGATGCTTCAACCACCTTCGTTGATTTATCAATTGCTCCTGTATACTGTTCAAAAGCAGTGTCCAGGAAAGCCTTCAGCACAACATCATTGTACGTCGAAGAAGAGACGAGCAATCGATCAAGCTTATCATCGAGACTCTGCAGTTGTTGTTTGGTTACCGGAGCCTCTTCATCTTCATCAGTGAGAAGTCTATAAGGACTGTAATAGGTTGAATCAAACTGAAAATTGTCACCACCGAGAGTAGGAGCAGAATCAGTTGAGGGTGAGGGTGAAAGAGGGTTGGATGTAACAAGAGTTTCGGTTTTAGTATTAGCCCCCGTATCAGATACGTTGACGTTTATTGGAGGTTCGGTTGTAGTGGTGGAGATAGGAGTAGTTGTGGTAGTTGCTTGTGAAAAAATGGGAGGTGGTAAAGGAGTTGTAGAAACTGGTATTGTACTAACTGGTGGTGGTGGTGGAATTAGAGCAACCAAAACTGGAACTGTAGTCTTTGGTGGAGATGGAGGAGGAGTTGGAATTTTGTCATTGAGTTGTTCAGTAGGAGTTGGAGAACGAGGAGGAGTATTACCTCTTGGTGAACCGGGATGCTGAACTTCTTCTTCCTCATCAGCCGATCGCTCCTCATCATGTCATGAGCTTGAAGGGGTAGGGCTCTAAGATTTCCTTGCCATTTTCTTGACTTTCTTTGAAGCCGAAGAATCAGCCTTTTCAGCCTTTCACTTTTTAGACTTAACATGCTTAGAAGAAGGACCTTCGGTTTCCACCTTCTTGGTATCTGCCCTCTTCCCTCGCTTTGCTGGCTTTTCCACAACATCTAAGGCAGCCTGCTGTTCAGGAGTCAGTTCTCTTGGGCCCTTGGGAGTAAGCTTTCGGTAGTCAGCCATCACATTACTTTCGCTCGACACACACCTATACATTGTTTCAGGTATCGAACCATTGTGAGAAAACTTGGTGGCATCTGAAAAGATAATCTTCTTTGTATGAAAAGTAGCCACAGAGGAGAGCATTGCATCTTTCATAACTGGAATCTGTAAGTTCTCAATGGCCCGTCGGGTGATGATGGTCCAGAAACGACCACAGGAAATCTCTGAATGTCTCGTTGAGGTGTTGAGACTTTGCACCAGTTGCGACCAAACAATAGAGCTATAATCCAGGTTAATACCATTGTAGAGACCATAGATAATGGTCAAAAAACCCTTACTCGTACCATCTGACCCAGCTACCCGTTCCGCCAAACCCTTGTTGATAAGAGTAAGTAACCCATTCCATTGCGGCAGCAAACACGACTTCTTAAACTTTGTCACTGTGGTAAGGACATCAGTATACCCCATCTCATAAAGCATCATAAACAACTGGGTTGTGGTGATGAAATCAGGAGAGATGACAGAAGCATCGATGGCAAGCCCTAACTGGGAACATAATCGGGCTTTCGAAATAGATGCCTTATGAGTGAAGATTTGAAAATAGATCCTCTCCTTGTTCTTTTCGTAAGACGTAGTATAGTACACTTGTGACAGCAGAGACATGGGAACAGATTCCACCTGCGTAAGAGCGATAACCAGTGGGGAGTACTTGAGACATTCAACAACGTGGAGCATGTACGAATCATACAAAAAGGGGTTTAGTTGAATGATCAGGTTCTGATTAGGTTTGATCACATGCAATGACGATGAAGCAGTTTGATCTTGAAAAGATGATGATTCCGCCATTGTTGATGTAAGGAAGAAGATGAACAGTTGAAGATCGCCTGTTGTATTTGAGAGAGTTTGAAGAAGGTAAGAAGGCACAATAGGTGCGAGAAACCCTTTATATACCGTTGCCAAGAGAGAGAAAGAATCTCCGTGATGATGATACGATCACTGAAACGTCGCCTGAAAAAGCGCGATTTGACAACTTGGTTTCCCTAGATAGACGTCATCAAGCGTGGGTTTAGGAACCGTTTCAAATTCACGCGCCCAATATGAATGATTATCCGATGACGTGATTCAAAATTTTATCCACATATCGTCTTTTCAAATTCACTTTCGCTCCATATGTCAAAATAACCACTTTCGCTCCAAAAAAAAAAACTTTAAACGGGCCATAAGGAACATCAACCAGAATTTTGGAAAATCACAAAGAATTTTCGTAGAAGAGTGTGCCAAAAATAAAGAAATAAAGCAAAATATGTATAGGATGTGAGTGATGTCTGTAATAAGACATGAAGCAGATGATTCCGGGCAAGAATCTCTTCCTTCAAAGTCAAGAGAGACTTGAAGTGCTTGTGTGGTTCCCCGAGAAAATACGATTGAGTGTTTGTAAAGAAACACCGAAAGGCTTCTTTTCAAATAATGGGTCTAAAGGGTGGCTTATCTTCAACCGAACAACGATACTTAACATAAGACCGAAAGTTGGATGAAGTACTTGTGAGACCGATGTGGTCTGTTGAACAAGTAGGTTGGATAGAATTTGTTGTGACTAATGATGTTATAAAAATCTCAAAAACAAAAACCAAATTGGATCTTTTTGGGAAGAAATGCCTTGGTGTTAGACAATTTCATAAAGACCACTCAAAAATAAAATGAGATTTCGTTAGGTAACAAGTGAGATCTTGAATATAAATATTCACCGTCAACTCATTATTGGTGTTGGATTTTGGGTCTCACTTAGCACGTGGTGTACGCATCTAAGATCATAAACACAGATTTTGTGTAACCATAAAACTCAGTGGTAATATCTGAGAGTCTCAAGGGTTACCATGGTGAAACGAAAGTTGATGGAGAATGTAGAGGAGGTGGTTAAGGAACCGAAAGTACCCCTGCTATATAAAAGTGTCAAAGCAGAAAACTCTTAACTCATTTGAGAAGAGTAAGGTATCTCATGACTTGAGTGAATTTAGCAGCCTGATTGGGAAGAAACGATAGGTATAGATCGAATCATTAAGGCCTTACTCATAGTCTTAGAGGCTTCGGTCTACATGCAGCAGCATGCTTCTAGGGACACTTAACTAGTTCAAATTAAAATGGTCGTACCTGCCCTAGCTCCAATTTACGTAGCAACGATGTACTTGGTACCTAGTAAAGAGAATAAACAAAGACAAACAAACCACACACACAAACAAAAAAAACAGAAGATAATAAAGAGATAAATAAAAGATAAAACCTTTTGGAATTTTGAATTTTCTGAAAAATAATAAAAACAAAATATTTTTGGATTTTTGAATTTTCTGAAAAATAATAAAAACAGAAAGAATATTTTTGGATTTTAAAGTTTTCTGAAAAAATAATAAAAATAGAAAAAGAAACAAGAATAAACGAAATTAATGTTAAAAAAAATCTAGGAATAAAGATAAAAGAGAAAACATAGCAAGAAAAAGATTTAAAAGAGAGTTTACAAAGTATACAGCCGAAATCAAACCTTAAAGGAATGAAGTGAAATAAGCCGAGCGATCGGTTCATTTCGGTTCCCTAAAATTCCGGAGCCAAAATAGACCGAGCGTTCGGTTCATTTCGGTTCCCGAAAAGTATGGAGCCGAAATAGACCGAGCGTTCGGTTCATTTCGGTTCCCGAAAAATCTGGAACCGAAATAGACCGAGCGTTCGCTCTATTTCGCTTGTCTAATTTTTAGAGAGAGGTTTGAGGGTTCGGTACCGACTCTACTTCCATCATTCCCAAACCTTGTAATATTTTATTGAAGCTTGCTTCTGGTAAGGCTTTAGTGAAGGTGTCAGCTAGTTGATCAGAGGACCGAACGAAATGAACTTCCACGTTTCCATCTTCAACATGGTCCTTGATGAAATGGTATCTTAGTGCAATATGCTTTGTCTTTGAGTTTTGCACTAGATTGTGACGTATTCTTATCGCGCTTTCAGAGTCACAATAGAGAGGTATTTTCTTCATACTCAGTCCGTAGTCTCTTAGTTGGCTTTGTATCTAGATCACTTGCGAGGTACAGGATGTTGCAGGTATGTACTCAGCTTCGGCTGCTGAAAGACACACACAAGTTTGCTTTTCAGACTGCCAGCTAACAAGTTTACCATCAACGAATTGACATCCTCCATTTGTGCTCTTTCTGTCCAGACCGCATCCTCCAAGATCGGCATCAGAAAAGGCTTGAACAAAGAATCCGGATCTAGTAGGGTACCAAAGACTGAGAGAAGAGGTTCGCTTCAGATAACGGAAAATATTTTTCACTGCCACCATGTGAGGTTCTCTTGGATTTGCTTGAAACCTGGCACAATAACCAACAGAGAACATAATGTCTGGTCTACTAGGTGTTAGATACATAAGAGACCCTATCATTTGACGATAGAGTGTTACGTCAACGACAGGTTTTTCCAGAGATGGTGTTAACTTTGTGCAAACGCCATGGGAACCTGCACCTTCGAATCTCCCATCATACTGAACTTCCCCAGCATGTTCTTCGTGTAGGCCTCCTGGTTGATAAAAATGCCTTTTGGTCCCTGTCTTATATTCAATCCAAGGAAAAAGTTAATTGGACCCATTGCAATCATTTCAAATTTAGTCTCCATCAACTTCCTGAATTCAACCGTTAAGCTAGGATTCGTGGAGCCGAAGATGATATCATCGACATAAATCTGAACTATCATTAGATGTTCACCTTCTTTCTTTCGAAAGACGGTTGGGTCAACCGAACCTTGCTTGAATTTCGACATTTTAAGAAAGCGAGTTAATGTTTCATACCAGGCCCTTGGTGCTTGTTCCAGACCATATACAGCTTTATCCAACACATAGCAGTGATCAGGGTATTTCTCGTTCACGAACCTAGGTGGTTGCTCACCATACACCGTTTCTTCTAGTTCTCTATTTAAGAAAGCACATTTCACATCCATCTGGAAAACTTTGAAGTCTTTATGCGCAGCATATGCCAGAAAGATTCTAACTGATTCCAACCTTGCTACAGGAGAGAAGGTCTCCTCATAGTCTATCCCTTCTTCTTGGCAATATCCCTTCACCACCAGCCGAGCCTTATTGCGAATGACGTTGCCCTCTTTATCCAACTTATTCCTGAAGACCCATTTTAAGCCGACCACAGAAGCATCCTTTGGAGTGGGAATCAGCCTCCAAACTCGATTACGTTCAAACTCATGGAGTTCATCTTGCATTGCTTGTACCCAATCAGTGTGATCAAGTGCAACATTAACCATCTTCGGTTCGATTTTCGAGACAAACAAATTAAACATGCAGAATTCAACATGAGAGAATAAGGCAGTTTGTTTCGCTTTCAATTGACAACGCGTGAGAACTTGCTCAGATGATTCACCAATTATTTGTGTTTTGGGATGATCCTTAGTCCATTTCGTTAGAGGCGGGTAATTAGGGTCATAGACAGGATCCAACTCTCCATTTACCTCTTCTTCAAATTCTGATTAATTACCTTCATCATTTGTATTGTCATTATCCCCCTCAAATGCGAATGGGATCCCATGTCAGGTTCAGGATTCTCCCCCTTGGTTGGAGTTGGATTCTCCCCCTCGATTGGACTATCGTGGATTGGGGTTGGAGTTGGATTCTCCCCCTCGAAAGGCAAATCGGTTGTTTTTGGTACAGATGAACCCTCCCCCTTGAACATTGAGCTGTTGTTTGGAGGGTCATTTGAGGGTTGACCACCAGTCGGTTTAGGAGGTTCATTTTCCATATCTTTTGCTGCTTCATCGATGATCCTTTTCAGATTGTCGATTTTGTTGTCTGCTGCTTTCGCCTCTAAGTGTATAGCCTTTTCTAGTTCATCAAATAGCCTTATGTACTCTTCAAACAAGTTGGAAATGGGAACTGAGACTTGTCCTGATTTTGGAAATATTCCCCCCATGGTACTTTCGCTTGTTTGAACTTTCTTCATGTAGTTGTGATCAAAGGTTACATAGTAGGATTCTTCAATACGTTTGGAGCGTTTATTCAAAACCTTGTATGCCTTTGAAGTGAGTGAATAACCAAGAAAAATTCCTTCATCGGCTTTGATGTCGAACTTGTTTTGGTTCTCTTTGGAGTTGAAAATGAAGCATCTTGAACCGAACACGTGGAAAAACTCATACGGAGTGATGGAGAATCGTTTGTTAAGTAAGGATTGGTTCTGAGTGTAGCATGCAGTTGCAACTGCATCAGCCCAGAAGTATAGCGAAAGAAAAGCGAAGCTCAGCATGGTTCGGGCTGCCTCACATAAGGAACAGTTTTGTCTTTCAACAATTCCATTATGTTGCGGTGTATAGGGAGCCGAGAAGTTGTGAGATATCCCCTTTTCAGCCAGAAAATCTTTAAAATCTTTATTCTTGAATTCAAGCCCATTGTCGCTTCTAATATTCTTCACCATCTTTCACAGCTGCAGTTCCACTTGCTTGATAAATGCCTTCAACTTGGGAGTCGCGTCTTATTTCTGTTTAAGAAAGAAAACCCAGGTGAAGCGTGATGAATCTTGTTGGGATTAAAACTCTAATTGAGATTTGATGAACAAGATGCGGAAAATAAGAACAAACACAAATAAAGAAGATACGTCGAATGATCACTCGATTTATTCAAACATGAGGAATAAATTACACTTTCAGCACAGACTCAAGAATCTAACACTACATAAGAAACCTCACAACGTGGCGGCTACATTTTGCCTCACTCTTCGAAGACACCCTGCTGAGTTGGTCAGTTAGGTTAGAGTTCGCTAAGCGAGTTTGCATGAGACTACCACTTAAGTTAGAAAACTTAAATTTTAGTTCATTTAATTCTTCTTCATAATTTGTTACGGGAACTTTGAGTTATTCAAGGATGGATTGTGCCTTTTTGATAAGCCGATCACAGTCGTTGATCCTCTCACTCACGGGCTTGGCTGCAAAACACTTGTCCTCAGTCGGGTTCGGCTCCTTTTGCTCACCTTCGGTTGGTCTTCCAGCAGTAACCATCAAAAATTTCCCAGCCGAACTAGTAGCTTCCTCTCTCGCCACATAAGCTCTTCCATGTGTGGGTTTTCTCACTTCTTCATCCTCATAATCGGTTGACCAGACTTCAACGCCACCGAACTCATCTTCATCCACATTTTCCTGCACAATCAAGGCATTCATTGAACTATTAGTTGCCTTCTTTTTCTTTATTTCTTCCAACTTTCGCATGTAATAAGCCTCATCATCTTCACCGTCCCTTTTCTCAGCCATCTTCCTCAACATGCAATCTTTGGCAAAGTGGTTCTTGCCATGACAATAATTGCAGTCGAATCCAAAGTCTCCTACAAGCTTGCTTTCTTTCTTGTCGTCATCCTTTTGAGAGGTGTTCTTCGTTTCTTCTTTCACTTTTTCAGAGCTGTAACTTCCTTGCCAGTTTTGGTTCTTATTGACAGGGAACTTCTTTCGTGCAAACTTCTTTGGGTTGGTGACCATCATTGCATATTCTTCGCCAGTAAGGTCACACTCAGACATATCTGAATCCTCCTCTTCTTCTGCGACACTTTTGCCTTTTGAGACAAGGGCCAGCGATCCCACACCCAAAACTACCTTTGCCTCCTTGGTTACCACACTTTCATGGGATTTAAGAATACCCATCAGTTTCGCTAGCGGGTATGATTTAAACTGTTCATGAGCTTTCACCGTTGAAACCACTGCCATCCATTCTGGTCTTAAACCATTCATGAAGGTCAACTTTTGCTCAATCACTTTTCTTTCAATGCCATGCTTGATCATCTTGCTGAGGAGATGATTGAAGCGATCGAAGGTCTGTATCAGTTTCTCTTCAGGTTTCTGTTCGAAAGCTCCAAATTTTGAGAGCAACAAGGTTTAGATCGAGTGTTCTAGATCCTCATCGGTTGAGTACAGTTCTTTTAACCTATCCCAGATTTCTTTAGCCGTCATGCATGAACCGACTAAGCGAAAAGTGTCAGATTGCAATGGGAATCTAATCATTCTCATGGCTTTCACGTTACATAGCAGCTTGTCCTTTTCATCCTGTGGCATCTTATCTACGTCCGCCAAAAGCTGATTATATTCTTTTTTAGTCTTCACTGTCCTGTTCGTTCCAGAGTGAACAAACGGCCCAATCGTGATAGCTTCCCAGATGAGATGACCATTATCTTTAGATCCAACTATGTAATCTTCAAAGTGATGCACCCACACTTCATAGTCTTGAGTGTAAAGAATGGGAACCCTTGTAGTAGATCGAATGTTGCTGGAGATGTTGATGGGATTAGTTTGAAAATCATCGTGAGACATGATGAGCCTTTCCTTGGAACTGCTAGAATCAGACCTGTAAACTTGAGATTAGGGTTTTATCAAACACAAGAGTTACCGTCGATAGGAAGAAGACGGCGTCTTTATATTCGATAAAAGCGGAACCCCTAAAGAATTCTTCAAACAGAAGGAATGTGTATTGATCACACAGTCTCCTGCTCTGATATCAATTGTTAGAATAAAGTTCTAATAGGATCGATCAATTCTAAGCAGAAAAGCAATAAATAACTTAATAAAGAACACATGAATGGTTTAACTGATGTCGAATGATTAAGCTTTAACACCTCAGAAGAGCTCGATTAAGAACTTCGACTATAGAGGTGTTTAGGGTTACAAAGCAATAATAATAATAATGACGATCGTATCTAAGGCATACATGCATGCACTATATATAGCTGAACCCTAATCACTAATCACGGATAGACAGGCCCAATCTGGATATACAAAAACAAAGCCCATGACACAATACAAAATCTCCAACAAATACCGCGCCCAAACCCAAGATGGACGCATCACAATACACCACAGAATCATCCACGCCCTCCGACAGGGCTAAGATTGGCGCCTCGCACAATCTCTATCTCAGTGTCTCAAATGCGGCATGCTGCTCAGGCCCCCAGCAAAAGACCACGACTTTCCTTGTCAACCAGGTTAAAGGCATGACTATCTTGTAGAAGTCCTGAATGAATCTCCGATAATAACCTGGCAGTCCCAGGAACCTCCGAATCTCAGATGGAGACCTCGGAACCTCCCACCTCATCACGGCTTCCACTTTGGGCGGGTCGACTGAAATCTCGTTCTGGTTGACAAGGTTCCCAAGAAACTGCACATCGCGCAACCAGAACTCACACTTGGAGAACTTGACATACAAGCTCTCCCTCCTAAGAGTATCCAATACCTCCCGCATGTGCTCCTCATGCTGCTCCCGTGTCTTGGAATAGACCAAGATGACATCAATGAAAACTATCACAGACCAATCCAACATCGGTCTGTACATGCGGTTCATGAGATCCATTAACACGACAGGAGCATTGGTGAGCCCGAAAGGCATCACCACGAACTCATAGTGACCATATCGCGTCTGAAAAGCAGTCTTCTGCATATCCTCCTCTCTGACCCTCATCTGATGATAACCTGAACGCAAATCAATATTGGAGAATCAAGATGCTCCCTGTAGCTGTTCAAAGAGATCATCAATCCTCGGGAGTGGGTAACAGTTCTTCACCGTTACCTTATTCAGCTCCCGGTAATCTATACACATCCGATGCGACCCGTCCTTCTTTTTCACAAATAGAATCGGAGCTCCCCAGGGTGAACTGCTCGGTCTGATGAATCCCTTGTCTAACAGCTCCTGCAGCTGTGTAGACAACTCTTGCATCTCAGGAGGAGCCAACCGATACAGTGCCTTGGCTATCAGAACCACACCAGGGACTAGGTATCCCAGGCAGCTCCTCTGGAAATACATCCACGTACTCTTGTACCATCGGTACATCACTGACTGTCGCCTTACCCGCCTCTCCGGTATCCAAGACATAGGCGACATACCCTGCGCACCCCTGCTGGAGATAGCGCCTAGCTCTCGCTGCTGAACATAAGCTCGGTCCATGCTGTCGCCTCTCGCCCTGAATCACCAGCTCTCCCCCACTTGGGGTCCTGACCCGGACCAACTGTTGCGCGCAGTCAATCAATTCCTATTGGGGCTCAACCAATCCATACCTATAATAACCTTGTTCCCCCGCAATGGTATGGGAACCAAGTCTACCGAGTAACGCTCTTCGAACAACCTCAAGACATAATCCCTGAAAACCTTCCTTACTCGAACTGATCGGTCGTCCGCAATCTCGACCTCTAGAGGGCACTCCAACATGCCCTAAGAATCAGAGAACCTCTTGCAAAGCGCAAGAGAGACAAATGATCGGGTAGCACCTGAATCAAACAACACCTGA